TTGTCAGGATAGGTCTCCCCAGACCGACCCACTGGCTGTGAACATTCTAAACTAACACGAGTCTCATTAAGTGTCCAGTTTAATGGTATTACACAGAAACATACCAAGGGAACATAAATCAAATATGCACTTTTATTCATTTACAATAAACTCATAAAATACATCATTTTGATTGAAGTTAAGGGCATACAAAACTGTCTAACAGCTTGCACCAATGAAGGGAGAAATTCATTTTCTTCATGACTTCAACAAAGAAATGTCGATCCATTCTGTCGAAGGCTTTGGACATGTCTAACTTAATTACATCCCACCCCTTCTTCATTTTTTGTTATTGGCATGGTGAAGAATTAATTGAGTGAGGAAGACATGATTTGATATTTATCTCTCTTAGGAACCTAGCTTGATTCAACGCAATTAATTTTTCAAGTAAAGTCTTCATTCGATTGGCCATCCATTTAATGATGATTTTATAGATAATATTGCAGAGACTTATTGGTCTATACTCAGACGGCCTTTCTAGAGTTCTGCACTTAGAAATAAAAGTGATGCAAGTGTTGTTAATTTCCTTAAGAAGTTGTCCTGACTAGAAGAAATCAGATATTAATTGAACAATGTTTGTTCCGAGAAAACTACAATAGTATTGGAAAAAGAAGGTTGTGTATCCATCAGGACCGACCAGGGGCCTTGTGTGGATGCATTTGAAATAGTGCTTCATTAACTTTTGACATTTGAGTGTGAATGAGTTTGGGAAACTCCAAAGCGTTAAGCTGGTGGATTTGACTTGATTCATCTATACTACCAACTTGCTTGATTGCTTCTTCAAAAACATATGCTATATAGTTGTAATTGGTTAGCCACTCACCATTCCTTCCTTGGATCCACTCAATGCCTTGTATTCTCCTTTTGTGCTTCACCATTTGATTTAGTATTGTCATCTCTTGCTTTTAATGCGTCATATGGTGAAGAAGGTCTGTTTTGAGATTTGCGCCGCGTACTCCTATCTAACATGATAACAGGTCCGCATCATCACGAAAGATCCATATTCTCGAAATTGGATTTGGATCGATCCGAATAAAGTTTTGGACCGTATCCGCATCCCATCATTGGGGACGTTTTCCTAGTCGGATGGGGCTCATCTATTTATGATATAGACCTGGATCTAGCTAGTCCGTTCAGTTCAATTCAGCACCAACTTCCGAAACAAAGGATTCATCCAGAAAAATCTCGATAACCAAAATGGTGCCTCGCCTGCCTTCCTATGGGCTGTGGGCTGTGGGCCTTCCCTTTTGGTCCGGTCCCCACACGATAACACGATCGCCGCCTGTTTTCTTCGTAAATTCACGCTTTCAGCCGGCCATTGGTTTTTCTTTACAGCTTTCCGTTTCTCTGTTTTTCTTCTCTCTTAGATTAAATTATTTATTATTATATATCTTGTTGATTAAAATAAACAAAACACGGTTTTGAGTAAACCAGGATCCTTTCTCCTCTCTTCCTATAAATATATACGTTGCGTAGTCGTCGTACACCCATATAAGTCAGAACTCAAAACAAAAAAACAGCCGAAACCAAACCTTTGAAGATCTCTCTCTCTCTCTCTCTCTCTCTCTCTCAAAACCTTCATCAACAAGCCCAATTCTCTCCATTTTGATAGCTTGAAGTAGAAGAATCTCGGAGATGAGCCTGAGGTGCATGAGCAGAGTTTTCTACCAGGCGGGATCTCGGGCGATGCAAGGGATCAAGGACCAAGCTACCAAGTACGATTCCACCTTCAAATCCCTCAAAGATTCGACGACCTCTTCTGCAAAGGTGAGGCGATTCTCCAGCGCCCTCGATTCCTCCGTGAAGACCCCCAACACCGAGAAGTTGAAGCAAGCCGAGGAGTCGCTTCGGACGGTCATGTACTTGAGCTGCTGGGGTCCCAATTGAAACAGAAGAGTTGGCCCTTCTTCCATATAACCAACTCTTCTTCCCTTCTTTCTCTGATTCTCTGTAAATAAATATGTTGAACGATGGCGCCTGTAAAATAATTTCATGTATAAACATGCTTTCGTTTTACAAGTTAATTTCGTTTTGGTTCCATTGCCGTTTTGGTCAGAGCTGCCACCATACCTGAAAATGTTTTAAAAAAGAAAAGTACAAGTTAAAATGATATTTTCTGAGCTCGGTGGGCTGATTTTTGAGAGAACGGTGAAGCATTATTTTTTTTCTTACTAATTAAACAGTATATATCAATACCTTTTTTGGAGTCTTGGAGATCACATCTGCGCCCCACATTCACATTTCAGCGTGCATTAAGAGCACAGTTGGGATATGCTGTGAATTTGACTTGTAGATGCCGCATCCGGATGGACCGGATTAGAACGACACGTCAGATACAGATTTGGATTCTCTTATACATATCGTTTCGTTGGAGTTTTCCGCGTAACTATGCCTGGTTGGACCGCGTAACTATGCCTAGTGGAAGCTTCTTCGTGCTTATGTGATTTCATTTCAAACAGTGTTTTCTTTTTTTATAATTACTTAATAAAAATGTTATAACAACATATTAAGGAAAAAATAAGCAATTATTAAAAAGCCATTTAAGAGTTGTTTTTCTTTAAGTACTTATTAATAAGTGAAACTGTGAAAATTTTAGGACTAAAAAGCCCCTGTTTATATTTTTAAATACTCAGAATGTCCCTGTTTTTCTTTGAAATATATATATATGAATGAAATGAGAGTTAAAGTTGTTATTTGTATTAATATAAGGAGAAAATAACTTATCAAATATCCCCACCCTAATAAATATTTTAAAATATAATAAATGATTTGATAAGTGGGTCATCAAATAATCTTAAGTGATTATTAAAATAAATATTTTTAAAAAATACTTCCTTTAACAATCACTTATCAAACAGGGCCTTCGTTCAAGAAAAGATTAGAACAAACATTTAAATCCACCCAAGAGAAGAAATTCCTTAGCAAAATAAATGAGAAGAAAGCAAATACTAAAAATTTTTTCTCTCTCATTTTACTCAGGTAATACTGTAATAGTCATTGTTATGAATTGAACGAAGGAAAAAAAACGAAATTAATTAATTACAGGGGAAAATATTAGGAAAAGAACTCACATCCTCGAAGAAAGAAGGTCAGAGAATATGAGATCAATAAGAGATATCATTCGATTGCAAAAACAATCTAACATAATTGTTGAAGATTCTACAAATGAATTAATTGGGTCCCCAGCAGATGAGATGCATGACCTTCTCGGCCTTCTCAGCTTTCCTGACAATGTGTTTCTTATCCATGTTGGATTTCTTCTCGCGATCTACGGCACTGGAAACCCATCTGACCTGAGAGGAAGCGCCGGATTCTACTCTGGGTGTTGGCCGGGAAAGCTTGAGCCCGGTCATCGTTCCTAGCCAGCTCTGATCCTTCTGGAGATGTCGCTTGGTACCTTGTTCTAGCTTGTTAACTGAAGTGGAACCGGTCTCTTATAAAATATAAAATATAAATAGACTGGTTCATAAAATTTAATAAATTAATCTACTCCTGAGCGTCACAAATGACCAAACAGTCTCCTTTGATTATTATTATTTTTGGGTTTGAGTCGTTTGACTATCATACCTGAAACACATGTTATTCAAAAATCACTCAATTGGTATCATAAATGTGTTAATCAATCAAGTATAATTCATATGTAGGTTTTGATTGGTCAAGATTCTTCAGGTATTATGTTCTTACTACATCATATATTTTCTTTCTTTTTTTTTTAATTAAAGAAACAGCAAAACAGGAGAAGTGATTTTATTTTTAATAAATAAAAAATAAAATTATCTAAAACTCACCAATCTTTTAGTATTTCACTTAAGCTCATCATAACTTTTTAAATTCTCTAAAGAACCCCGTATTGGTGATCTATAATTTTATCAAATTTTTCTAACTACCCCTCCAAATAGTAATTAAAATAAGCACTCTAAATATTACTGGGAGAAACTGTTTGTCGTCATCTACATTCTATAACAATGAACCAGCAGGGGTGAGCCCCCTTCACTCTCCCGCCAGCTAGGTGGAGTAGGTGTGTCTTGTCCATTATTTCTAGTGTTATGATCCAATGCTTCTCTCAACATATGAACCAATCAATGGAAAATTGAATATGTCAGACATAAATCCAAACAATAACCTTTTCGATAGATAAATTGGGTTTTAAACTTGTTACAGGTTAATTCTCTTTTGTTTTACCTCTTTTTTTTTATTTTCATCTAAATTAAGGTAATTTTTGTAGAATTAGTCTTATTTTATTGGAAAACAGTGTCACATTAGTGTAAATATGTTTTTTAAAGAAACACTCGTTGTTTGATTGAGTATTTTTTCGAAAAATATTATTCAGACCAAACCTTGAAAATCAGAAAAGACGTAGTATGAGAAAACGTCTATTTTAACAATAATCATTTTTATACTGTTACTAGTAACAGGCATTGAAAAAACAATTATGTTGCACAGTAGCAACAACCCTCTCAAATTAAAAAGCTGTTTTTTGGTAAACTGCATACTAATGCAGCACCGGGTTCTTACTAGAGAAATGAGACCGGTTCAGTGAAGGGGTCACAGACTACACGTCTGCATGAGCATGTATGTAAAGGAGAAGGGGAGTTTGGGACATCTCAGTAACGTTTTCAAACCGCAGTTGACCCGGGCGGTTGGACCGTTTGGCATGAGAACTATTCAGGCAATTGATTTCGTTTTATCCTAAATTCGGCATCTGGTCAAAAACCGTTAAAAAAATTAATAAACTATTGACTTGGGCAGTCGAACCGTTGACCCATGGACCCGTTTAATAATTTTTGACCATTTTTTTTTATTTTTTTAATTTTACTATCAGAATGGGCCATCCGTTCAAACTGGATGATTGGACTGTCGACCCAAAAACCGGTGGCCATAACGGTTTCATTTTCGGGTCATTTTTTAAAACGTTGCATCTCAGCCTGCTAATTGATTGCAGGTATGAAGCAAAAGGTACGCTATCATGATTTCGAGTGGGTTCTTCTGGTGGATCCTCTTGGTTGAATTAGCTAGTTTTCAACTAGGAGGTTGTTTGGTATCGATAGCGTTTTGTACGATTTGGTCTTGAAAAATGAGACAAAATCTATTTTAAACGTTTTGTACGGTTTTTTACACCTCAGCGACAATAGTCGCCGTATAAACCAAACAGTGAAAATCGGTCTTGAAAATGAAAAACATCGAAATTTGTGCTTTTTTAATAAACGGTTCACACAATTTTTGAGAAACGGCTCAACCAAATAACTTTTTAGCCGTTTTTCTGATAAACTCATCTCTAACCGACACCGTTTCTTCCAAAGCTACATCGATACCAAATATCATCTACGTCTTAGAAACTCATTTATGAAAATATTATATTGAAAATATGTTCAATGTTAACTTCAATCAAGCTTGAAACTGAACGAATCTGTTGCCTGTCATGGAAACACCATCTGATTCAGACCTAAATGCCCCCTCTCGATGGAGAGGTCACATCCGTCAACTTGTTTCTTCAACATTAAAAAGCTGGCATTGCAAGTCTAAGCTCAAACTGTTCAAAAGCCTCTTGCAACTTTGCATTGGAAATATCTCACATGAAATAAAGCACATAAGTACAAAGATATTCATAATGCAAGGCTGTAAAGGCTGTTCAAACAATAAGATGAATTCTAATTTGACAGTAAGGCTCAGTTTGGAAAAAGTACAAATATAAATACATAAAAAATAATATAAAATACAAAGATTTTTATTTTATAAACATGATAATAAGGCTCAATTTGAAAAAAGTATAAATACAAAAATGTAAAATATGAATACATAGAAAATAATACAAAATACAAGGTTTTTTACTTTACGAATATGATAGTAATGCTCAATTTAAAAGGAGTAGAAATACAAATATATAGAATGCAAAACCTTGTATTTTGCATTATCTTTTATGTATTTGTATTGTACATATTTGTATTTATACTCTTTCCAAATTGAGCCTAAGTTTGTATTTGTTTTTGGTGTAAATGCGAATCGATGTAAAACTTCAGCATTGGATTGTGTTTACACGTGTTTATTTTTAGTGTAAATATGGACCAGTGTAAAACTCCACACCTGATTTGTATTTTCATGTATTCGTTTCTAGTGTAAAGTTTACATGGCTTACTTTTCCATCAATAATTGATGTGAATGATACATCAATTTTATCGATGTACATTTACATCAGTTATCACATTAAAAAACCTCCAATGTCCATTAAATTTTAAACCCATCGATGATTTTTCCCTCAAAAACAAACTGAACCTAAGGGATTTTGAGGAAGAAGTAGAGAGACACCCTACCATAGTTGTTGATGACGCAATGACCCTTGCTGGATGCGTTGAAGTAACAATCCTGATGACCCCTCAAAACCCAAGAGGGAGTAGTAGATTGCCACAGTCGCCGATGGCACAACAGCCCTTGTTGGCTGCATTGAAGAGCAATCATGATGACCCCATATGCAACCAAACCAACCGGTAGGGATTTTGAGGGAGTAGGTTTGATTGGGGTTGAGTCTAAAGCCATTCTAAGGAGGACGAGGAGGACAAGAGAGAGCGAGAGTATTGCCGCTTGTTTTTTGTGGTTTGTGTTTGAAAATGGAGTAAGAATGAGAGAGGAGGTATGTTTTGAAAATTTAAATAATAGCTAAGGTTAAAATGGTCTTTTTATTTATTTAATGGCAAGACTTAGGGTTTGTTCGTTTCCTCTTAATTACTCTTATCTCTTAAGAGGAATCTTTTAATTTTAAGGAGAAAAATAATTGTTTATTTTTTCTTATCTCTTAAAGTGCAATCATACAACTTTTTTTTCCAATGATACCCCCAAAGTACAAACAAAAACTCTAACATATGAGGTCAAAATAGATATTTGATAATTTTCAGAATTCAGAATTCAGAGTTCAGAACAACATTCTTTGCATTCAGAGTTCAGAGGAAAGAAAAGTTCACCAATACCAATATACTTCTTAATGTAATTATTGCACTTTTAGATGTTAGACTTGAGAGCAAACGAATAGGCCCTTAATTAATGTAAATTGAATTTCTAAAATTTTAGAGTACTTTAAGCAAGGCGTCAAACCTTAGGAGTATTGACATTTTAGTACTTTGAACTTTTAGAAATATATACTTAAATCCAACTTTGTTAAGAATAACATTAGAGTGAAGGTAAAATTACAAACATGCCTATATCTAAATTTTTTATTATTTTCATTGCTTTTATTGTTCCATTGAAATGATTTTATTCTTTGTTAAAAAGAAGTATATATTATTAATAGAATAAAAGTTCATTAATGACCAAAAGAGAATCTAAACATAAGCATTTTGTAATTTTGTCCCTAGTCAATTTTAATAGAGTTGAATTTAAATGTGTATTAGATGGCTTGTCAATTTTGATACTAACAAGTCCCAATTGAAAGTTCCCTTTTAACTCAAAGTATTGATTATCTATTGGGCAAATTTTTTTAAACTACCCTGATGGCTTAGCTAATTGACTAAGGCCCCGTTTGATGTGTTTTTTCGTGCGGTCTTTCGGCTACCTACAAGTTAGGAAGATCGAAAATCGGTCTATTCCCGTTTAGCATGCGAAAGATCTCACTGCCAAAAGATGGGGTGTCGAAAAGACACAGGAAGCTCATTTTGGGAAGCTCCAAATGAAACTTCTTGAATCTTTCGGGTTTTAATCTCGTGCAGAAAGACCTGGAACGACGCACGAAAAGATGTGCATTTTCCAAACGGTCTTCGGCTGCCCAAATCTTATGTCAAAAGCTCAATGCGTCTATTGACTGTTAGAGCTACGAGAAGATATTCTCAAAAAAACTTGCCAAACGGGCACTAACTCTACTCTTACCCTTTATATATTGTCTTAAAGTATGTTTTTAGGTTTTTGACAATTAACATTATCATGAGAAATAAAATATCAGAATTTACCCTCCATTATTTCTCAAATTTTTAAAATAAAACCTAACAGTCTCAATCCTTTAAGTTCTTTGCCTGGGTACGTGAACTCTCTCTAGGTCGTTACCAAAGATGACTACACTGATCCTCTAGCCACAGCTAGGGGCACCGCGGACTGGAGGCTGGAATACAAGTAGCTGTCGAGAGCCAGCTAGTGAGCTAAATCCGTTGCCGAGGCTTAAGGTTTGGGTCTGTTGTCGAGGCTTCTAATGAAAATTTTCAAGCAAAAGCAGGGGGTAATGGCTTTATGTTCCGACTTCCGAGTAAGATATGGTAAAGGCATCGACCAACTACAAATGGGTCAAATCGGCGAGAGGACAACGTCTTGATCAATGCTCTCATCTTGGTGAGGATCCCTTACAGGAGACCTTGTTCAATTGTCTCTATGTGAAAATAGGATCTCGATATCATGTAAATGTCATCATTGAGCTTTCCGTGCAGGTCCTAAATCTTCTCGAGAACTTTTTGATTAAATAGCCTGTAACATGTAACATGGGATTTGATGGAGGGTGATTTGCCCCGACCTCGTAGCATGGGGACACATGGGTGTGACCTTGCTTAAATGATGACTCAGCGTGATAGCACAGCAAGAGTAGCCACAACTCGGTGGGAAGGGCTCACTGCGTTTAATCTGGCAACTCGACAGGTTAGGCTACTCGCCGAGAGTCGTCTGGCTTGCACCTTCTTCCCAAGGCTGAGGAGCTCCGAGCTACCTCCAAGCTTGGGGCCCCCTGACTTTTCCTAATGTCCGAGCTCCTCCCAGTGGGTTCTAAGCCATCCCCAAAGAGGAACACCCCGATCCGCCTCTAGACACCCCGAGGTAGAGACACCTCGGGTCAGCGTTGCTGGTGTAGCTTGCCATAGGCAGCTCGGCAGAACTTGCCACAGACAGCTCGCCGCTTGTAGGGTAGCTCGGAGAAGAGCAGTTCGGCCTATCATAGGAAGACCTCCTGCCTAACAACTGTATCTGGCAAACCTGGAGACTGCGACTACGTCTTTTGTCAGACGGTGTCGTGCCCGCCACCTCTGGAAGATATCCTACATCTGATAAGTACGTACCCTGCAGCGACAGCCCCGCACGTGCCACCTCAGCCCTGTCTGTAACGGCTACGGCAGGACGACAGTGGCGGTTATACCTGCCCTGACAGAGGCAGGTGAGCCTGATTTGGCAGAGCTCTGTTATAAGTAGTCCCAATCCCAAAGGGCAGGTATCTTTTTGGCACCCGTGCTATCTGCACTCTTAGCCCCCTTTACTCTTCTTGCATTTTTCACAGAGCTCTAACTTAAGCATCGGAGTATTCCCGCCGGGCAAGTCCCTCGGGAATTCCTCGTCTTCTCCATCTCAGGTACCACCTAGGAGCCACACAACCGCTAGTTAGGAGTGACCGGATCGCGCACCATCAGAATTCATTAACCTGTAATCAACCGGTAATCGGCCTGAATCGTGTCTACTCGGTTATTAATAACACACTACTTAAACGTAGGAAGAATGTGAATTTCAACAGGGACAAGAAACAAATTGACATTACAAAGAGATACAACACGATTATGGCATCTTCAGTTATTTTAATACAAATAGTTTATTTTTCCTTTTTCTATTTTTTCTTGTTTTTTCCTTCCTTTCCAGTCTCTTTCTCATGCCCTCCTTTATCCTAATTGCATTGCTTTACTTCAAATGAATTAAAAGAAGAAATTAAGTTGGAATGAGTTGGATGTTTCAAGGCGTAGAGACCTGCAGCACATTCTTGATGATAGTGGGCATGAAGTTTGAAACCCACAACATGGGTATCCATCCGTATTGCAGCCTCACTAGAACCATCGCTGCTTGCTAGACCGAGAGCTGAGCCCGGCATCAGGATCTTCATTTCTTTGTTCTCCTTAATCTCCCTTATATCTTGATCATTTACTCCTCCCTATCAACTCGTGGATCAAGTTCATATCTCTGTTCTGATCTCGTTGGGAATCCAAACCGCACAGTTCTGCAGTCCCAAAGTATTAGATAGCTCAACCAAACTGGTATATATAAAAGATGGTATGCCTATCCATTGACTTCCGAATCTCTTGCGTCAGCATTCGGACATGCCGGCCAGCTTCCTCCTGTCTGATCATCCTATATATCAACCTCTCTGTCAAGCTCCCAAACCTTCTTCTTCTTCTACAAGGGTGATTGCAGTTGCACAAGAGACTAGGGCAGTGAGAAAGCTGGAACGTGTGCAGGGCATAAGTCCAGCCATTGATCAAATGGGCTTCCTCCAAGAAAACCAAAACCCAGTGACGGAATACAACCTAGCTACAAAACTAGTGTCGTTAACACCATCCTCTACCAACCTGCTAAACCCAGCAGAGGTGGGGAAAAGTGGTTTTGGTACTGGGTGAGTGGGTTCTTTCTGTAGTTCTTAGCAGAGCAGATGAATTGAAAATATCAAATTCTCCTATGGGTGAAGGAAAAAGTAGCTTATCTGAAGGATAACATTGTGTTTTAAGAAAATTTTATACTTTACCTAGTGTCACATGTGAACAAATTGACGGACGTTAACAGCAGTAGGATTTAGATAATTGTCAAAAAAACTTAAAGGTATCTTAAAGATTATTTCAAAACAATAGGGATAAGTAAGTGAATTTCCTAAACTACGAGTAGTTTAAGAAATTTGTCTAATTTACCAAAAAAAAATAATAGAAAACAAGTGGCTGTAATTTTCGCAAGACTCAAATGTTCTACGTATGTGTTAACGTAACTATTACTCAACATGTGCGTCCAGGTGTGGTTTGAAATTTAAATGAAAGCTTCACTGCTGGCGTTTCTGCCATGGTTTCGAAGAAATCTGCATACTTACAGGGGAAGGGGGAAGCTGTTGGCAACTAGGACCCACCAGCTTTGTCTGTTTTTTTCTGAAACCGGTTGGCTCCACAGGTTTTGTAAATTTATTTCTACCGACTCCCACCTTCCACCACGACTCTTTGCTTTATATATACAGTTCTCGCCTTCCTAGACTAAAACTTTGTTTCCGTCATTGAAAATTGAAAGAGGACAAGGTTCGGTCAACAGTTGTACTGGGGATAGGGGAGAGCAAGGGATGAGTTCGTCGGGTTCGACGAAGAAAGCTTGGATCGTAGGGGCGAGCGTTGGAGCAGTTGAGGTCCTGAAGGATCAGGGGTTCTGTAGATGGAATTACACTATCCGGTCGCTGCACCAACATGCTAACAACAATCTGAGATCATATTCACAGGCGAAGAAGCTCTCTTCTTCCTCTTCTGCAATGAAGAAAACCACGAAGAGGATGAAGCAGACGGAGGAATCGCTGAGGAAAGTCATGTACTTGAGCTGCTGGGGTCTCAACTGAAGCGAAGCTGAGACTGAGAACGGGTTCAGTTGGAGTCTTTGGAGAGACAGAACACCAAAGAGAATATACATGAACAAGCGATATGTTGAGCGTCACTGTGATTTCTGTTCAGAGTTATAACTTGTAATTATTTAAAATACAAATATATCAATATACTGAACATTTTGATCAAAACAAAGTCTCTGGCTTGTCAAATTGGTTATCTTAGCCTGCGATCATGTAGGATATCCCATTCATTTTGGCGACATGATCGCCTTTCTTATGTAGCTATAAAAAGAAAGGATTTCTCTGTTTAATTCGTTATGTATATGGCGTGTATTGATGAATCAGTTTTAAGAATCTCTTTATTTTTTTTTTGGTAACGACGATTTTCATTAAACAAACACATGTACAACTGACGACAATTCCAACAACTTAAAAGCAAAACAACAATGGTAAACACAAAATACAGTTCGAAGTTCTCCTATTTCCTAGATATTAGAATTAACAAAAACATCTGAATAGAAGTTGTTGTTCAGGTGATGGTTGAACTTGGCCAAGGATGCCACATGGCAATCTACGTCGATATCACGGGGTGTCTTGCACAGACAAAGAAACGGATTCCGCCAAATAAGAGAGAACCTCCCAAAGACCACAACAGATGCCCTGGACAACCTCAAAAGCCTTATCCATATGGGACAGGGACACCCAATTATAAATAGGTATTCTCCACTGATGAGAGTATAATTTATTATATTATTATCTCTAATTATTCTGTCTTTTATACTAAATTAGCATCTAATTGGACTCATATCTCTTGTATTTTGGTCCAGGGTATGAAAGAAGGCATCAAGAGCAAAGAAAGACAAATCGGATGATTTTTTCACAGTTTCGACATCGTTCAGTGATCTGGGCCTAACTCACATCTCCGAACTCTAAATGGGCTGATTCAATATCCATTGGAAAGATAAGAGAAAAAATCACAACTTTCATGTTTTGGGCTTTCTCAGATTCGGCCTGCATCGAAGTCAAATCTGGGCCCGAAGTCGGGAAAATTTCGTAGAAAGGCCCAATCCGCAGCTGAAGCCCAACTCGCAGAAAAGCCTGGCTGAAACCCAATTCGCAAAGGAGGTCTATTACGAATCCAAGAACAAGAAACTAAGAAGAATCCTTCTAGATCTAAATTCTTGATGTAATCTTAGAGTAAAAAAGGGATTGAGTTCAAGAGATAAAGAGATAGGATTAGAATTATGATAGGACTTTCTATTTCTTGAAAAGATCAACTTCAAGAGAAAGTAGGAGACCACCCTCTCCCCTTTGATCTAAAAGAAGGAGGGGGCAGACTAGAAGGATTATCACTTGATCACTGAATCATTCAATCATTCAACTTCTGATCTGAATCAAGAAGCAAGGAGCAATCAGTCAAGAAGGGTTCAAGAATTCAAGAAACTTGAAGAAGAGGATATCTCAACACTATGGGCGAATTCAAGAGTTCTTTCTTCCCCTTTGTTTGTTTTAATTCTTCCATTACGAAC